GGATAATTGAAGATGTGTTAGTACAAGTCGATACATTCATTTATCCTGTGGATTTTATTGTCTTGGACACAGAACCTGTTGAAGCATGTAATTCATTTCCTGTTATTTTAGGATGTCTATTTCTTGCAACTTCTAATGCATTGCTTAATTGTAGGAATGGACTAGTAAAGCTATCATTAAAAACATAATATTAAAGATAAATATTTTCAATATTTGCAAGCAACCTAGAGATGATAATGATTTACAAGATGTAGATTTTATTGAAGAATTAGTTTATAATCAACTTAAATCTACTTTAAGTAAAACTGAGTTTAATGAATCAAATGACTTATTCTTAGGAAGAAATCACGAATATGAAAGGCAACAAAAATTTTGATGCGGATCTTTTATCAAGAGTGACAATAGATTCAACATTCGACATCACACCAATCGATGATTACTTTCCTAACGAATCCTTACTTTCTCTTAGATCAATGCCTTGGTTTGCTAATTTTATCACTTTTCTTTCTTCAGGAGATTTTCCATCTCATTGAAGTACCCAAGACAAAAGAAAGTAGTTGAATAAAGTGAAGAACTTTTATTGGGATCACTTTTATTTATTTAAATATTATCCTAATCAAATATTTTGAAGAAGCATTCCTGACAATAAGGTAAGCATTGTCATTAAATTTTGTCATTTTGAGACATATAGGGGTTATTTCTCATAAAAAACAACTACAAAAATCTTATAATATGAATTCTATTGGCCCATCATATTCAAGGACATACATATATTCTTCAAAACCTGTAAAAATTATCAAAAGTTGGGATTTATTTCAAAACATAAAGAGTCTTTAGATAATCTTCTATTGACTTAGATGTATCCTGGTAGAGATGTGCATTGTGCAATTCATGATTTATGTCACAATTTCATAAAGAACATGCTCAACATAGTCTTGAGAATCTGACTCAAAAAGATCCTTTTTGCTAGTTTTTAATAAAATTGGATAAGAAGCTTATCCTCAACCCATAAAGGGCGTTTAAATTGTTCTTGGACGTAAAATCAAGGGAAGATGTGAGCCACAATCACAACTACAATTTAAGCCTTAGTTTGTAAGAACATGTGTCTTTTGGTTTTATTAATAATATAATATTTATGTTTTGTTGTTTCTTATATTTGTTTAAGTGTGTTTCATGCTTGTTAATAGTTGCTGCTTCAGATGATGTCTTCTATACTATATCTTTCTCCCTTATGTCATTGAGGACAATGTCTTATTTTGGTTGGGGAGAAAGAGTAGTAGTTGATATTTAAAAAAATAAAAAATAACTAACTGCTTTTGTTTTTAATAAAACCTTTTGACAAAATTGTTATTACTAAAATGGTAGAGTAATGGGGAATTTTATTGAATCTTAAGACGCATCTTAGTAAATATTTTTCGATGGTTATTTGCAATGTTCATAACAAGGTCTATCACATACTTATCTTGAAATATTCAGGTTTAGAAACTCTCGTGTTATTATCAATTGTTGATATACTCATTTAACAGGTATTTTTAAATCTTTATTTTTGCATACGCACTTTAATATATGATTGTCAGTTGCATATTGGATTATTATATTATTTATATTCTTTTGTTAAAGGTAACAACTAAAGGAAATTGATAACATATAATTTGCAAACAAAATAAAAAATGATGATAATAAAAATATAGATGAGTTTGGTTTCGTAGCCTCCATAACCTAAGCAATTAAGTTTGAAGGGTTGTTTTAACACCTAATACCCTAAAGTCAACTGACTTGGGAGCTATTAGCCTAGTGCTTGTTACATGAGTTAAGAAGAAAAGTGAACGACTAAAAAATTGATGTCTTCTCTAAAGTGCAGGAGTATCGAAGTAATAAATAACCCAACAAAACCGGGGTTGAACCACGGGGAGGTTAGTTATATAAATTATAAACAACAACAACAATAATAAGTTAAAGAGGATTTTAAGATTGTAAGATTAATGTAATGAGTAAACAATGATAAAAACAAATATCAAAGTTAAAGGATGCACTAATGAACCTCTTGACTTTGTGATAGTCCTTATCTTCTTGTTTGAATAAAATATCATTGATAACATCATAATTTGAATATATAGTTTGCATGAATGTCATGGAAAATTATCTCAACTTTCCAACAAAAAAAAAATATGTGCATTTGGACTTCTAGAACTCAAGATATGAGATCAATACTAAATAGTGTCTAGGTTGTACGATAGATCTAGACTTTTTTTTTATGCTAATATTTGGACCTCCAAATGGCATAATTGAGCCTTGGGCTCTCATGAATGTTTTAAGCCTATGTGTTAGCTTTTTAGCCATATGAACCAAACTAAAATCCAAGATCTACAACTCTAGATATGACCCAATGACTGAATAGTATTCCAGTTTGAATTAAATCAACATCCCTTTTCTAAGCTTAGCTTTCTCTTTATCTACTCAATTTCAATAGTTAAACTCATCTATTATTCCTTTTATTTATGTGATAGGCTTGCATTTAAGATGAACATTTACCATAAATTAAAGGTATCTTATATTATTAGACATGTTATTATAAAACATACTCTAGTTAAGGAGTTATTGATACTTCAAGTGCAAAATAATGATATAAAACCTTGATAAAAATACACTTTTAAATCCTAATCATAATGCTTAAGTTTTGCTTTTATTAATCTCTTAATTATAACTTTCATTTCCTTTACTATACTGATATAATCATATTCTCCTCTTATTTATTTATGTTTCTCTTCTTTATTATGTTTAGCTAAGTTTATTATATGAAGGTGAAAAGGTTTCACTAATAGTGTTAGAATAAGTATAATATGAACTCAATATGGACTTTAATGATTATATCATAAACAACTTGTTATTAACATGTCTTATCATTTTTATCTTATTAATTCTTAATACCTTGCTTGTTAAATGGTTAATCTAGATTTGTGTTATATAACACTTGGTACAACAAATATTTGGCACTTTCATAACCAATTGTATGGTATAACCTACACTATACTATGAAAGGAACTTGATTTATTGTTAACCCAAGTTAGCATCATGAATACCTAACAATATTTAAAAGTTTGATGTTACTTAGATAAGATAATTAATATGACCATGTTAACAATTTATAATGAGCTAATAATGATAAATCATCTTATTAGAACCTCTTTTGTGTGTGGTTTCCAGTTGAGTAATAAAAGGAGTTTATATTATATTTATTTTTAATATCATTAGTGGATCATGTAACCTTACATGTGTTTTTATCATTGTTTAATCCTCATATTAATCTCACATCTCAAAATTCTCTTTAACTCATCATCATCATCATCATATAGTTAACCTCTCTATGGTTCGATCTTAGTCTTGCCGAGTTATTTATTACTTCGACACTCTTGCTCTTAGAAAAAGACATCAATTTTTTAGTCATGTCAAAAGCCTTGAGGCAAATTCTACGATACATTAAAAGTATCATAGACTTTAGCTTGTTTTATGGTTATTCTAATAGCTTTGATCTTATGGGTTATAGTGATAGTGATTAGGCTGGAGATATGAATGATTGAAAGAGCACTACAAGTTTTGTTTTCTATATGGGAGACACAACTTTCACATGAAGTTCAAAGAAGCAATCTATTGTCACGTTATCTACTTGCGAAGCTGAATATATAGCTACTATAACATGTGTTTGTTATTGCATATGGCTAAGAATATTATTGGAGGAGTTGTGAATGCCACAAGAAAAGCCTACAAAGATTTATGTGGATAACTCATCAGCCACTGCATTAGCTAAAAATCCAATTTTTCATGACAGAAGTAAGCACATTGACATAAGATTTCATTATCTAAGAGATTGCATTGTAAACAAGAAAGCTAAAGTCAAGTATGTAAAGACTCAAGATCAAGTTGCAGATATTTTTACAAAGTCACTCAAATATGATGTTTTTACAAAGATGAGAGATATGTTAGGAGTTGTGGAAAATGATAACAATTGATATTGAGGGGGAGTGTTAAAATTCAATATCAACTAGGATTTATAGTTTATAAGAGTTTTAATACTAGATAAAAGAGGAATCCTTGTCTGATTAGTATATTATATTTCTTATTAGATTAAGATTTTCTTTGAATAGTCTAATTTTCTAATTAGCTAGGATTTAAGGCTTATAAATAGGATTGTAATCTTAAGTATTAAAAAGACAAGTTGAGAGAGATATAAAGAAAAGCTAGAAAGGTGTATCTTTAGACTAAACTCTTAATAAAATATCATTCATCTCATTCTTCTTCTTTCTTTTTATGTTTGTTCTTATAAATTAACTACCACACCCTATTCTTCTTTTACAACACTATGTTCTTCCCAAATCAAGTACACAAATAGAACAAGAGAGACTCTTCTCATTCTTAGTTCCAAACCTTTTTTGTTATTGTTGAGACTTCGAATAGCCCTATTATGACTAGACATGCAACGGTGAATCTTAAGCCAGGATCATATATTACTCCAAAGTGAAGAAGACCAAACATAGCTGAAGAAAAGATATGTATGGGATTCATCTGCATGTTGATAAAGAGGGCATATGGGATCAAAGGATATAAATTAAACCCTATCCTTTGTTCTAAGCTTGCCTGAACAAGAGATCATTGTTCCCGAACCATACTAGCTCACTGAACAAGAGCATCTTTATATCTAAAGTACTCATAGGCATTAGCTAAAAAAGTCCCCGAGCTGGTGTGCCAGCTTAAGAGCTTATCTTACATTGTAGGAATCCCTTCATATTGCTCAATCAATGTATTACGAAGGGAGAAGATTGACTTCCATAGGGGAGAAGATGTCTTCTTAAGATTAGAAAACCAAATAGAGGTATGAGAGAGGTAGTAATGATCAACCCATCGAGTCCAAAGAGAATCTGTTTTCATATGAATGTTCCAAAGTTGTATGGCGAAGAAACTTGCATTCCTGGCTTTTATGTCTAGAACAACCAATCCCCCTTCATTCTTCGGTAAACAAACCTGCTTTCAAGCCATTAGAAAAGATTTATTTCTTTGCAAATTCCCGAACCATATAAAATTCATGCACAAGCTAGTAATCTTGCTAATAACCAAAGTTGGGATTGAAAAAATGTTGATCCAAAACTAGACCATACCCTGCAAAACACATCTGATTAACTCAAGGTGACCAGCATAGAAGAGGTGCTTACCTATCCAGCTCTGGATGGACAATTTAACTTGTGAAAAAGAGAAGAGACTTGGCTAGCCAGCAGCCTATGTGGGCTAAGCGAAACGCCAAGGTACTTGAAGGAAAATCTTCCTTCAGTGAACCCTGAAAGACTTAGAATAACATGTTTCACATCCTCCGTAACTCCGGCAAAGTATATGGAAGATTCTAAATGTCTTGTTTCTTGAAAAGAGACAAAGTTGTTAGGAAATGGGAGAAGAGAGAAAACTTTGGGTTGGCCATCCATTAAAAAAAAAAAAAAGGTTAATCCTTATGTCTTATGTCAATATGTTCATCTTTTAAATGGTGATGACTTTATCCTTTAACCATGCTGAAAAAAATAGATTGGACCCTGAAAAATAGACATTTGTTTTTTTGTCTCAATCTCTCCATCCAAATACATTTATGTCCTAAATATCTAGTTTCTTGAAAAGATATAAAGTTGTTAGGAAATGCGTGACGCGCGACGCATCTCATACTGAATCTAAAAGACGAACAATGAAGGAGGAGAGAAAACTTCGAGGTGGCCATCCATTAAAAAAAAATAATAATCTTGATGTCTATATGTTCATCTTTTAGAGGGGAGTTTAATGGTGATGGTTTTGTTTTTTAACTATGCCGGAAAAAATAAATAAAAACCTATAAAAATAAATATATTTTTTTTATGTTTGTTTATGTCTCAATCTCTCCAACCAAATATATTTATGTCCTAGATATCTAATTTCTTGAAAAGAGACAAAGTCACAAGAAAATGATAGAAAAGAAAGCCTTGGGTTCACCATAAAAAAAAAAAAGGTTAATCTTGGTGTCAACACATTTATCTTTTAGAAAAGAATTTAATAGTGATGGCTTTATCCTTTAACCATATTGTAAAAAATAAAAAACATTGAAAGCTTGTATAAGTTTTTTAGATTAGGTTTGTTTTATAGTTTTAGAGTGATTAAAGATGCTTTGTTATTGGAAATGTGGTTATTGAGATTTTTAGAATTTTTTTTTTTTGAGTGATTTCAAGTGAAAACAAATAAAAAATTAGATTTTAAGAATACAGAAAACTTGACATTAATTTTTTGACCACCACAAGTGGTTAAAAAATTATTGCAATAGATAATGTATTATCTTTAATAATCTTTTATTAAACAGGCGACGCGTGACGCGCGACGCACCTCATACTGAATCTAAAAGACGAACAATGAAAGTTATACAAGTTTTAACTTTTCCTTTTAGAGGTTAGCTCTGAAGAATTCCTAGAAACCTCTTTTTTTTAATTTAAAATAAGTCCTTTTGAATTAACAATTAAAATGCTATTTAAAAAAATCATCATATTATTATGTCATATTTTGTAAATAAAATTAGAACTTTTATGGTTATATTTACAATAACTTTGTTAAAAAATATAAATGAGCATAATATGCAATAAATTGTAAGAAACAAATCGCACATTAATGTTAATTGAGAGTAAAATAAATATTTTTGTATTTTTAATTTTTTTATATAGTTTTCACAAATTAATTATTTTTTTATTTTAAATAAATTCACAAAAAAATTTATGAAAACATGATTATTTTCTATTTTTTTTTTTGAAACTTGATTTTTAGATTATGATAAGTTTTTTAAAAAAAAAACTACAAATAAAAAAAAATTGTAAAAAAAATTAATAAGGGAATGAGGGGTTTTTGCCTAAAGTGATAAACTTTCTCCTTCCTTGGCTTAAATTATTGAGATACTAATGAATATTTATTTTAATTATCTTGGTTTTTTTAATTAAATTACAATATTGTTAAAAAAAAAAGACATTTTTAATCAAAACTAAAAAAAAATACATAAATAAGGAATGATAACTTTGACTTAAGAAATACATTTTTTTAACTTTAGAGTTTAAATATTTAAAAAAAATAATTAATTTGATCTTACTAAGAAGCAAGATGATATGATTTTGTTACGTGCTGAAGAGATGGTTGAAATTAAAGAATTAGTAATGAGTTTGCGTAATGGTGAAAACTTAGGAGACAGGAAGCAGGAACATCAAGTTAAGGAAGCAAGATCAGACGGTGATGAAGGAATCAAATCAAGCATCGCTGTGGTGATGATTTTTGTCAGCACAATCAAAGGATGGATTGTAAACACTCCATTGTACAAGTAAGAAATACTAAAATTTTAAAAATAAATAATTTATCCTTAACAACTACAAAAATTTTATTACTTTAAAGTATTTCAACAAATAAATATATTTTTTTATTTTAATATATATATATATATATATAAAAACAAGAAAATTGAATTAATATCATTTATAAATTTAGATATACTAGTTAGCATGCATGCATGCTAATATTATATTTATTTTGAAAATATATTTATTATGAGTTATTATTTTACGTATTTATAAATTAAACTTATATTAACTTTAGTCTTTCTTTAAAATATTTCTTAGAGTTAATTACAAAGTAATTATTCCGTTGGTTGAGCTAAGCAGTCAAACTTAGTAAATAAGAGAAACTATGATTTTTCTTCTTCTCTCTGTGTTTCTAGTAGATTTCTCACTTATTCTGCAACAATAATCTTAGCTTAAATTCACTTCATCTATATATATTTTGAATACCTTTTAATTGATTTTTTTTATATATTTTGAATACCTTTTAATTGATTTTTTAAAAAAAAAAAAAACTAAATATATAGAGAAAAATATCTTGATTAAAGATATTTAAAAAGTAATGCTGGCCTTAAAATAATTCATTTGATAACTATTATTATCCTAAACGTAAATATTTTCTATATATTTCAATTTTCTCTTCATACTTAAATTGCAAAGACCAGGGACCCATGAAAAAATTGACTGAATTACTTTTCGATGAAAAAAAAAAAAAAGCTTGAAGAGCAATGCTGCTAAAAGTACGTATACTTGGTTTATATATATATATATATATACACAACAATGTTCAAGGTACATCTCTTTATCTCTCTATCCCTCGTATTTTTCTGCAAGCTAGCCGGGGAAGAAAAAGGAAAAGAAAGAACAAAAAAAAAAGGATTCTTTTTACGAATTGATTTGAACGCTATAAAACAATGGCTAATGACATTACCAGGGATCATCGCTGGTTCGAAAACCAGTAACCAGTGACCCAGCAAAGAAAAAGACTGGGACTTGGAACGGACCGACCCTCTACTCTTAATGAAAAACTTGGGATGCATAATACTCGCTCTCATTAAACACAGGTCTTAAGTCTTCCTTGCACATGAACTCCAAAGGGAAAGAAACAAGATGTCCTCGCGTCGACTGTAATCTCTCCAGTGGATCGGTGTTTTTTATGTCTCCATTTTGGTAAGATTCAAGCTTCTGGGGGGCTATCCCTAAATCGATGGTCGTGTGACCAAGCCTATCCTTCCACGACACCATACTTTGTCTGAGCGCAGCTCT